GTTATTATTATGCTTCATTTCGCTTCCTGGGCATAATTTTAATATTTTCTTTTATTTTGTCAATTGCTTTACAATTCTATTTACGTGTAGGTATATATCTATGTTATGTATCCGTAAATGTTTGTATTTATATGATATTTTTATATAGATTTTTTGAATTGCTATTTTTATTTGTAGGTTAATGGACTAAGGGGACAAGAAGGTGACTAGTTGGTTCAACTACAAAGAGAATGTGAATAATTTAAAATAAAGGTCGACACCCTGAATAACCATTTCCGACTGCACATCTGTGTGTGTGTCTTTTTGTGTGTGTGTGTGTGTGTGTGTGTGTGTGTGTGTGTGTGTGTGTGTGTGTGTGTGTGTGTGTGTGTGTGTGTGTGTGTGTGTCTGTTATGAAATTATTTTGATGTGTATTTCTGTCATGTGAAACGACAGGAGCGCGAGGAGGAAAATAACAATTGCGCTTATGTTTTCGGTTTGTTATTTTTTTTTTTTTTTTCAAAACAGTGAGGAAATAAAATAAAACAACGTTTGATATATGTCCAGAAATAGATCTTTGTTTTTTTTTACACGGTAAGAAAAATAAAGCAAAATTTATTGAAAGTGAAAATTAACCATTAAAACGAAGCTAAAGGAAAACTGTACCGCAGTTCCTGCCGACACAAGTCGACGAAGACGATTATGATGAAAATGATGATGATTAGAATGATTGTTATAGATTAATATGATGATGACAATTATCATATTCACAGTGACGATGACGGCAACGATGATGATGATAATGGTCGTGGTCAAGACGGCAATGATTATAGCAATTATGATTGTGTGAGTCATAAGACAAAATTGTAAAAACCAAAAAAAAAAAAGATGATTTAAATATAAAGTAATGGAAATAAATTGAATAATTAGGTATATGCTTATTATTTTCGAGTAAAATTTATTTCCATAGTAGAAAAAAATTAGTATAATAAATCGCCTGTTGTAAGTCACTATTACTCTAGTTTGGTTTATGAAAATTATGAAACAAGTTAATTTTAACAATATAGCAACAGCAAATGCATGAATAATAATAATAATAATAATAATAATCAAACCTATAATAATTTCTTTTCTTTTCATATGCCATGTCCTTTCAGGGCGTAGGCGATCATGGCTCTCCACCTCCTTCTATCCCTTTCAGCTCTCAACAAGTTCCTTCCCTCTGCTTCCTCCCCCCAGACCACGTTCTGTTATCCATTTAAGTCCGTCGCGTTGTTTTCCCTTGTCTCTCTGTCCCTCTATTCTACCCGTGAGCATCATATTCTCCAGGCCTTCCTTCAAGTGTCCCAGAAACTTCAGCTACCTCTTCCTGATATTAAATATAACCCCCCTCCTTGTTTGTAACCTCTTTAAGACCTCATCGTTGCTCACACGCTCTGTCCATGATATCCTTAGCATTCTTATGTAGAACCACATCTCTGTCGCCTCCGTAAAGAAGGACAGATATCACGTAACAGTTCAGTATTCTTTTCTTTGTTATCAATCCTGTCTCATCTGTAGAGGAAAAAGGGGGGGTAAATTTTTGAGTGATTACTTCCCTTAGTTGTTTTAATAATATATAAAAATAAAATATTTATCTGCATTTCAACAAAATTAGTTTCCAATCAAAAATATAAGGTGAACGGATTAATTAAACGGTTCATTGTTTTAGTTATGAAATCTTTATCTTTATTGAATCTCAAGATATTGTTTCAATACTTTTTTTTTTTTTTGCATCTCACAATTAAAACTTTGTAACATTCGCCGTCATTTTTTGACAGCACGGATACACTAATAATAATAATAATGAAGGCGTTTGAAAACATAAGAAAATATATAAACCTCGATAAAAAAAAAATCAGCAGAATAATGTATTTGTCTTCAGAATCTGAAGACAACAACATTAGCTGTTGGTACTGAGACTTTTGAAATGGTATCAAAAAGAGCAAACAAATATGTGGATCAAACTCCTTGTAGCCCCAAAATATTTAAATTGCAAAAAATCATACTCATGGGTACTTCTTTCAACCCGCGTAGATTTCTCTCCATGCAGTGACCATAAATACGTATTTATTTTTTTTTAGGATTCATGAGACCTCATCTGTTTGTATCTTCTGATGTCCTCTTGTTGAGACTCTCGTACTACACAAATAATAATAACAATAATGATAATAACAATAATAATTAATTAATTAATGTTCTGATGCTACTCCAGACATAACTCGCGTGACTTATTTAATTCGAAGTATTAATTAGTCTTAGTTTCATACTAAGTAGTCGATAAATACAGAAAACTGAGTCCTAAATTACAAAATCAAAAGAATGTAAAATTGCTAAGAGTTTGAAATTGTGCCTATTGTAACCGGAGCATTAGGAACAGAGTCAGATAATTTTGCCCATTGAATGAAAGCATTAGATTTACCAGAGAGATTTTATGCATTTCAGAAAGTATGTTTTCTTGTTACGGCATGAACAGAGAAGTACTGGCTACCTAATGCCGATGTATGTACCTTGATATCCAAAACGTGAAAAACAAGCTAATGACATCCAAGGAGATATACAGAAAAGCAAATACCTGAATAAATGCCCTGCTGCTACGCCAACCACGCGGTATTCGGTTCCTCAAAGTAGCATTTTGGGGAAGAATTTGTTTGAATGGAAAATCCTTCTAATGAGACACGAAAATAGGGAATGAGAGTGATTCAGCTCTGTGGTGAATCATGATGGCCATGATTTTAAAGGTTTTACCTGGTAATTCTAAAAAATGCAGCTCGTCTAAATATTTGCCACGAAAGTAGTAGAAGAGTAGCAACAGACTTTCAACCCTACGTTTGTGTATAGATATATAAACACCCATCCCATCAAAGAGCGGGCAGTCTCTCAGATATCGCAGACGAGATGTAAGATCCACGTTTTATATGAGAAGCCCGTGAAAAACACACTCTTGCCAATAGAAATTACCCAAGTCAGGAGCTGAATAAAATGTAAGGGTGAATTTTTTAAGTCTGTCGTATTATCATTGGTAACGATACAACGATATCATTACAAATTCATAAAACCTTACACCCAAGTGATGACGTCTACTGATTGTATTTGAAAATGTAAGAGGGAGGAAGCGGTCTCCACTAACAGTGGACCTGAGAACTACACCTGGCAGTATATCCTAATTACAACAGCAAAGAATTGCAATAGATGTAATGGAATGACGATATAAAACGAAAACATACGGTCCCTACAGAGCACAAAGTCATTACAGATAAAATGAAATGGCAATGGTTGCTAAAAGAACATGGAAATGGAGAAAATAAATCACTATTATTAATGGCGGAAAGCACATAACAACGCCACGATAATCAATTATTTGAATGCCAAGATAAAAAAAAACATTAATATACAGAAAGTGCCCTAACATACATAAGACAATATGCCATAAAATAATCAAATGCAGAAAGTTGGTAAGAAGGAATACGAAAACAGGCATGACTGTTTACGAAGGGCGATCCATTAGGAGACATGTAAACGACTAATATTTGACTATGCTCACCAATGGTATATACAGAAGCTATATTCAAGCTTAGACAATGAAAACCATAAAACTATTTTTCCAAAAATGTATTGCTGGTAATATTTTTTCCTTCAAAAATCTATTGCTGGTAATATTTTTCAAAAAATGTATAGCTAGTAATATTTTTTAAAAACATGTATTGCTGGTAATATTTGTTTTAAGTATTGCAGGTAATAATTTTTTCCTTCAAAAATTTATTGCTGGTAATAAGTTTTACCAAGTATTTCTGGTATTAAAATCAATTTTTACACTTTCATAGTGTTTTGACCACAGTTTGGGTGTTAACTATTTGCCCATAGCTTGGACACAAACAGGTGCTACCACTCCGGGTCAGAGTAGATCTGGGAACACCAGCAATTAAGAGGTGGTTCCACGATACGGAAAACCTCCTGATCAGAGGCCTTGTTGTCTGATATAGTTTATCGTCATACCCAGGAACGTGGATGTAGTTTATCGTCATACACAGGACGTCTTTATTTTGGAAGGTGCACGCATAAGCTGTGGTATCATCTACATAAATGTTTGCAATAAAGTTGTTCTTTGGCACATCGTTGATATGAATCAGAAAGAGGGTAGGACCGAAGAGAGACCCTTGGTTACGTTTGCATTGCTCTCATAGGCCTCAGAATTGAAAACCAATTTCTCATGCCCAAATAGAGATCAATATCAATCGCAAAATAAGTGAACATTTTGAATTAACTTAGAGACACCATTAGGTAGGAATGATAATTCCCTTAGAACTGTGCAAACAATTTGGATTTGGCCACTGAGACAACAGAAGCCAGAAGCAATCCTAGAGAATTCAAAGATAAAAGTCTTGAAAACTCTAAAAAGTTAAGGCGATTCGTTATCACTTTATCTCGAAAAAGTGTCACCAGACACAACTCGTGTGAAAATTCATTATGAACATAATAATTGTAGTCATAAAGATGGACTCCAACAAGGTGAATTAGTGAGAAGAGCTGAGAGGAACTCCGTAATAAAAATAACATCGCCAACAGTAAATGTGAAAACAGCACAATAGGAATCAAAATGGCCATGATGATGATGATGATGATGATGATCTCACAGTACGTCCTGCTCACTTAACTAGCGATTGTATACAGGGCAATATTTATATTTCCTGAACTAAAATTTTGTGCAAATATAGGAACAAAAATAGAAACTCATTTTTCATTCGTTTACTATTTTACTTTCAAAATATTTTTTCTGTGTGTTCACATGCACTTTTCTTGTAGGCAAGAATGGCCTTTGTTTATTCATGTGTGCGTGCGTTGAGAAAGTGTTGCTTTTGAAGAGTGTGGTAATTTAGATTTTAATTTTGTTACTTATGAAGGAAGGGCATTTTTTAATATCTCTTTGATGTCACATTTCTCTTGCTATCTCTTTCACTGATCCATCCTCCCTCACTATATAGCTCACTCTCTAAATTTTTTGTCTCTCTCTCTCTCTCTCTCTATCTATCTATCTATCTATCTATCTATCTGGTGTCTTCTCAGTCGACTTTGATGTTTTGTACTTCGAGAAAATGCTTACTTCAGCGCGTTTTCTGATATTTGTAAGTTTTATTATTATATTTTTCAATATTGTCTCCTTACTTTTATTATAATTCATTTAATTTTGAACGTTTCCAAAGTTTTACACTAATTTTTATGTTTTTCTTTTCAATATGTTTTATTTCCACTTTGTTCTACGTAATCCAAAGACGGATATGCAATGTGATAGGTCTTGACCTGGCATCTCGACTTCAGTCGCTCTCTCACTGATGTGATGTCGTTTCCCCCTGTCTTTTCTACAAATATTTTCATGGCAACTGCTCTGACGAACTATTTTTACTGGTGCCCCAATTGCATGAATTTAAGCGTGTTACTAGTTTGGCATCTCGATCCCACACTTTTACTGTCGAAACAGTTAAATGCAACCGCCGCATCTTCTACTCCAACAGCTTCTTCTCTCGCACTCCCGACAGTGAAACTCCCTTCCTCTTACTTGCTTCCCTGATAAGTGTAATCTTCAAAAATTTTAAATGTAATGTTAATCACCATCTTCTGATGTCTTGATCCTGATCCCCGTCCTTCTCGTTATCCTTTCCTCAAACACCCCCTCTTTACTCTTACTTTCATTCTCTGTAACCCCTTGCGTGCTAGTGGTACTTCCGCCTTGCTTGGGGTGAAATGCTAGATAGATAGATAGATAGATAGATAGATAGATAGATAGATAGATAGATAGATAGATAGATAGATAGATAATAAAATTGCAAAATAGCAATGTATTTCTGCTTACTGAAGATTAAATCTATAGGTAGTAGAGTTGGATTTCATTAAATGATCCCATGGCTTCAAACGAGTGAAAGCTGTAGATCTCAGCAATAGACATCCTTCTTTTTAACCTTGTGAACTGACGCTACATAACCACATACGAAGAACTTTACCAAATAACAGAAACCACAACACTTGAGGACTTTCAACAGCAGCTGCAATTATAATGGATTGCACATACAACTCAAAGAGGAAATAATGACAATCAAGATGTTGACATTCCACACTACTTCAAACAAAAGGTTAGGAAGGAAACCTCTATCAATACTGAAAAGAATTATAACAGTGGACTTGAGAAACCTGTTTTCTCGAAATTTTGTTTTCCTAGAAATAGTTTCTAAATTTCAAACGAAAGTAGTACAGGCAGCTCGCCCATTGAACGTCGAATGTTTTCTTATTAGGAAACGGCTAATATTACCATTGCCACATACAGATTGATATGTGTGAAGATTCTAAAATAAAATGTGTATGAATGGTACTGAAACACCAGAATTAATATGCTGTATAGCCAGTTTAGTAGTTAACATAGAACTGTATTCCCACATCCATACACTCGTATACATAGCAAATATATCCTGCCATACATTTTCCCACCTCTTGATGAAATATGCCAAAGGAATGAGTTAGGCGTCTGCCCTTCTGTACCCTACATGTGAAGTCCGGGACAGGTGATCGTGCCGGTCAGGTAAGATATCGAACATTTTGCAAAGAAAATTAAGTAACACGGGTACCATGTGGACACGACATTATCCTGCTGGCACAACAAATTACATTCGTATTGCAGGAATAGCAAGATCAATGCATACATACAGGCGAGAGGCCGAAATATTAACAACAAAACATTTTTGTCTAGATGCAGTTTAATGTGTTGTGACTAGTTTAAAAATAGTCTGACGTCATAGAACCGCATCTTGAACTTACGACCTGCCTCTGCTATTCCGCGACCGTTATCGTCGCATAGCAATCTTCTATGTCATAACAAAATATTATCTTCAATGGTGAATATCTTTGTTAAAATGTCATATAAATAATCTGAAGATGTCTCATGTGGGCTGAAAGCTTAGGTCAAGGAAGGACCAACTTAATAAAAAATATTCAAATGTTGGACGATTTTTTGTCTTTATTTTCACCCGAAATTAAAGCGAACATACGAATATTAGAACGGCTCATGATCAGACATAATAGACATTCATTGTCTGTTATATTTAACAATATATGTTTAAATACATACATACATATATATATATATATATATATATATATATATATTATTATTATTATTATTACTTTAACGTTATTTTAGTGGATACTAGCAGTAGAGTCCAGCGTTGCCCGGGGTTGTAACAGTAAGAGATAGATCAAGTATCGACCATCATAAAGACTGAAAAATAAAATTGACAAAGATTATTGTTTAAGGTTGACGGACACGCATGTGTTAATTAGTTTTTTGGGGATTTTTTGTTTTGTTTTTTTCTTTATTTTTTACGAATTGGTCAAACCCAAACTCAAACAAAAACATTGTTTTCAATAGTTATGAGTCTACCGATTGAATAGAATTTTATTATAAATGATTGCCTTGTAAATGGAATTTTTAAAGCATTCTGAATGTAAAAATAAAGAAAAATGTGTGCAAGACAATAAGAAACACTACCTGCCAAAAAAAAGTGAAGTTTTGTTGAAATCAGTTGAAAAATGTAGGAAATCCGATCCCATATATAAACGAACACACACACACACACACGCACACAACCTTGGTTTTATAATAAGTATACCTCGATATGAGTTGTACCCTTTTCATTCTCGCGACAGCGATGCCTCTTAATCGTGTTTTCAAATTGATTTCGTGCAAAAACAATTGTGTTTTTCCAATTTTGTGCGCTGTCAGAATCACCGCAAGGTAATTTTACGTAGTCCTGTGAAGTTTTGTCGAAATCGGTTGAAAAATGTAGGAAATCCGACCCCATATATAAACGAACAGACACACAACGTGGGTTTTATAATGAGTATGATTTACACTTGAATAGACGATCAATTTTTTTTAAAAGTGTGAATACGTCTAACGACCTGCATGTTTGAAAGTCTTAATGCTCTCCGGTATCATGCTGTATTTCAAATAGACGCCTCACTTTTATTTTAATTTTAAATAATTTGTATTATGAGTATCCATTATAATGGCGTTTGAAATAATAAAAATTGTTGTTCATAATACAAAATGATGAGATAACAATATTATCAATTTTATTATTACTTACACATTTTAATTTGTATTTAAAGACGATAAAATAGGGTATTGTTCCATTGGGCTTCATATTTAAATCATTGCGTGAAAATGTGCAGTAATAGCTTAAAAGGATGTAGTAGTCTTTTTCAAAATAATAAGTATATTTTTTATTAAACATACTTGAATATAATTCAAAATACGTAACGGCAGCAAACCCACGTGCACCATGTATTTATTCACCATCAAGTCTTGTGGCACATATAACATCTACACCTTTCAAATAGTTGTTTACAAAAGCAAATTCTAAAGTAGTGTACTGAATTGTATGAATATATGTTGTGCTATATATATATATTTAAATTTATTTAATAATGTTACTATAATGCATTATGAATATTTATTATTTTTCACACACGTAATATTTGGAATATGATATGCCAATTTTTTATATGCACGGATTGATATAAGATTATGTATCGAAAAAATACTGATTTCCTATTTAAAATGTTCAAACAGAAAAATGGCCTTAGCTCAAGAACCCCTGTGTAATTTTAATGAAATTTGGCACTGCATTCGGTTGGGGCTACAATATGTTCTGAATTTGGTAGGGGTATTATGTTCCGTTGAAGCTGTATATTGGGAACATACATACATATATACAAGATTAGAGTTTTAATATTACATAGATATAGATAATCAATTTATGTGAATTTATACCTAAATTCAGATTGAGTGGTTAATTTGATATTAGTAAAATAGACAACTTGACGGACAACCATATCTGGTTTGTTTCAAATTAAAGAATCGGTATTGTTGCGTAAGTCATAAAATCTCATAAAGGAACATAAACGTCTTAAATCGTGTCCAGATTTCGTCTGATTTTGTAAATATTCCAACACAAATCAAAGCAGACAAATTTTGAAGCAAAACATTCACATTGCAAGAGGTGAGCAAGGCTGATTCGCTTCCGAATGGCGGCAACAGATTTTCATTTATTTCACTTCCTAAACTTTTTCGTTGCGTTATTTAATGCAAAATCACGCCACCCCACACAGCCGCTCCCTCGTTTCGCCACTTCCACTGTCGGACCGACTCCAGTTTGTGTCTGATTGCGTGCCGTGCCGAAACAATAAAACCTGAGACAATAAAACAGTTGAAAAATGGCCGCCCCCTAAACCTTGAACCTTGGCACTAAAACAAATTGAAGGAGAATATTATCATCGGATTGCTTTCTGGCACGTCTGCGCATGTGCATGCTTATGCACGTATCTGTATGTGTGTGCGTATGCACATGTGTATGTGTATGTTTGTGCCTACCTACAAAAGCGTATATACATATTAAGTTGTATAACATAGTTGTCCTAACAAGTTAGTTTCTAACACCTGTGAGGCTGTATACCTTTGTAGAAGTGTGATTAAGTATCAATGTAGATGTGTTTTGTGTTCATATATGTGCATTTATGTGTGTGTGTTTGTGTGTGTATGTATATGTGTATTTGTGTGTGTATATGTATGTGTATGTTTAATTGAAATGGGGTCTATTTACACGTGCAGGTCTTAGCAGATGTGAGTGGTGAAGTAGATAAGTTTTGTTGTGTTTTTTCTGTATGTAAAAGAATAATGATGTGTGTATGTCTCTGCAGCTGTTGATTGGTACGTACGCACAATTGTGTGTGCAGCCCATATACATGTTACTTTGCAATTACGATCAACTTTCTTCTAGAATTTCCGCATATGCAAATCACTTTTTATGATTGTTTTAGTGAGTGCATATCTGCGTAAAATTTTTATTGATATGTAAGTCTATGTATCACTGTTCATAACGGTCTTTGCATATATATATATATATATATATATATATATATATATATATATATATATATACCTGCGTAGGTAGATCCAAATGTTTATTTACAATTGCGCATTTATGCAAATTCATACGAGGAAAAAACGGTTACCTGTTTCTTCATTTGTTTGTTTGTTTTTTCTTAGCCAGTTTTGTTTTGTATATATATATATATATATATATATATATATATATATATATATATATAAGAACAAACAAAAGCCCGTTTATAAATTTAAAACGCTTCGCTTTTATTTTTTGCATCATCGTCTGATAAAATCAAAACAAAAGTTAGACATGTCAAATTTATGAATATTTTCCTATTTGTTCATTATTAATCATACATATATATATACATATATATATATGTGTGTGTCTGTGTGTATGTGTGTGTGTGTATATATATATATATATATATATATATATATATAATCGCTGATAATGACTGAGGCGATTGACAATAGTGGAACAAAGGCAAGATGGATGTGCAACAATTTATTCAAAATTGGAAAATAAAATTAAAATTTCGACAGACTATATATATACGCTCACGCAGACACACACACACAAGTATATATATATATATATATATATATATATATATATATATATATATATATATATATATATGGGGTCTTTACACGGAACACTTAAGTCTTTCGAGGCGGATCGGCCAGATCTGATCGGCCAAACACGTGATTTATACGAATATTTCATTATATTTGTATTCTATTTAAACAAAAAACAGAACTAGATACTCGTGAGTGATAACAGCTCTCGTATATATCACGAGTATAATCCTACCAAAACATATATATTCAATATATTGTAATTTATATACAAAATATACATATATTTTTTCCAAGTTCTACTCATTACGATGCACAAGATCCACTCGAAATAGAGTTTTATTGGGTGTGATATGAAAGTAATAAGAGCAATAGGGAATGGAGATTATGAGGATATGAGGGATAGATAAAGACTGGCTATAGAATTCGACGGGTTAACATTCTAGTCTCAAACGAAGCATCCATGTCTGTTCCGCAAAGAAGCAGTTCTTGGGAAGAAGCTTTCTATGTGTAACATCCTTCTTAAAAAATGGATACGGAGCAAATGAGGCTGATTCAGTAATTCGGACGTGGCAGAGATGCAGAGTTCAGAGTTGGTGACACTAAAATATATAGTTTCTCTTAGCTTTTCTCTTGGATGAAGCAATATAGTAGCGATAGTCATATGACATTGCGTCTATAAGGAAAAGGGTGTAGGGTGAAAAATAAGTCATCCCACACAAGGCCGCGTAAAATCTTTTGAAACCTGTCAAGGCTGAGAAGTGAGGATTGGTGATTTGCAGCCCAAATATGGAAATAATACGCCATCTTTGGTCTGATCTGAGTCTTTTAAATTTATATTTATACATAATAAACATGATACACATTTTTCAATGGAGAAAATAAAAGAAAGAATATTGTGTTGCACCCATATCTTAGGTGGTAATGTCTTACTTTCCTTGAAAATCAACATTCTAAATTTTCACCTGCGTTACAAAACCGAACACCGATTCTGTGGCAAATATTTCTTTATTTAAACCACTAATCAAGCTATATGGGTAAGTATCAATGTATGTGTATGTTTACGTATGTTTAAATTTCTATTTATGTATGTGTATGCGTATGTATATATGCCCATGAATTTGTTTTTGAGCGAATGTTTTCAGAATGCTTCCAGTTTATTTGCGTAGAAGAGCGTATGCCTCGATTCTGATAATTATCGTTATTTAAGTGCTTTGATGATTGTGGTTGGTCTGTGCGTTTGCCAAAGCTATGAAAATTCTGTTTGCTTGCAGAGTGTGTAGAATGGATTCGTCCTGACATGCCATTAAGGTTTCATTTTATATTCAATGAACGTCGTTATAAAATCAACAACACGAATTGGAATTGGTTTCAGGAACTCGTTTCGGTTGTGCAGTTCAAATTAGATTCGCAACTCCTTAATCTAAAAGAACTTGTCGCAGTTCTGTGCTTACACTGATGCTTTTTGTGTGGTCGGTGTCGGCAGCAAAGACACGAAAGTCACCGATAATAACATCAGACCCCACCAGCTCAACATCAAGACAAAACTAAATCTGATTTTATTTGCTTGTAATTACAAGTTATACCCTTTTAGTTAGAGAAGCAATTCAAACATTTCTTTAACTTTATTTCTTCTAACAGCTTTTTTCCCTCTTTAATTTTTCTACATTTGTTATTGCGCATGGACATTCATGTTCTTGGAGTTAAACAATTCGAAATACTCAAACTTGTTTTATTTTATATCCCTAAATGTTATATCTCCCTCATTTATTTACAAAAATTGTACTATTCTGATATTTTGTCCCAAATGCGAAAAATTTCTTCAGGTTCTATTCTATAACAGTATGTAACAAAAAATTATTTCACTGGTTCTTGTTTTGTTATTTTTTGTATTTTTGTTGTTTCTTTGTTTGTTAGTTTTTTTTTTTGTTATTGTTTTTTTTTTTGTTTCTTTGTTTTTTTTCTTGTTTTTTTCGTGTTTTAGATTTTTGTTTTTCATGTTTCTTTTAGATTTTCGGTACGGTGAATGTGATGGTAGATTTTTTTTCCTTACAGTATCAATATTTTGTTAGTTATATCAAAGTTCAGGTTCTGTTATGTTTCTTTATTTACTCATATCACGTTTGTCTCCCTTGGTTATATTGCATTAAATGTTATACTCGGCCATATAAAAGAATTTTTCACGGGATTAAATTACCGGAAGACAGGAAAAACGTAAAATCTATTTCTGATGATGCGTTTGTTGAACCACAAGTGAAACAGATATTTGCATCCGAAAAGCTAGAAACTGAAATTATTTTCATAGGAAAAAAAGAGTTTTGAATGCATTCAAGAACGTTGCCAATATTCTAGGCAACAGCAAAGCAAAGATTTACAAGGTTCCGATTGAAGAATTTCTTGAAAGTTAAGGCTCGATGGGGTGAAAATGTAATTGAAGCTTAAATATTTGTACTCGTTTTGAATTCATGCGACAGAACCATAGTGATACGCCGAATGAATATGGTAAACGATTTCATCAGGGCATACAATTGATGAAGAGTGGATACCAGGGAAGGTGGGATAAAGCGATGATGAGTGACTGGGTAGGATGAAGCGATGATCGGTGACTGGTGGGGGGATGAAGCGGTGATGGGGGACTGGGTGGGATGAAAGGATGGTGGGTAACTGGGAGGGATGAAGGTATGGTGGGCGTCTGGGTGGAATGAAGCGATGATGGTTGACTGGGTGGGATGAAGCGGTGATGTGTGCGGGTGGGATGAAGCGATGATGGGTGTGGGTGGGATGAAAGGATGATGGGTGACTTGGTGGGATGAAGCGATGATGGATGACTGGGTGGGATGAAGGGATGGTTATGAAAGAATGGTGGGTGACTGGGTGGGATGAAGGGATGATGGTTGACTGGGTGGGATGAAGGGATGATGGGTGACAGGGTGGGATGAAGAGAAGATAGGTGACTGGGTGGTATGACGGGATGATGGGTGACTGGGTGGGATGAAGGGATGACGGGTGACTGGGTTGGATGAAGCGATGATGGGTGACTGGGTGGGATGAAGGGATGGTTATGAAAGAATGGTGGGTGACTGGGTGGTATGACGGGATGATGGGTGACTGGGTGGGATGAAGGGATGACGTGTGACTGGGTTGGATGAAGCGATGATGGATGACTGGGTTGGATGAAGCGATGGGGTTGACTGGGTGGGATGAAGCGGTGATGTGTGCGGGTGGGATGAAGCGATGATGGGTGTGGGTGGGATGAAAGGATGATGGGTGACTTGGTGGGATGAAGGGATGGTTATGAAAGAATGGTGGGTGACTGGGTGGGATGAAGTGATGATGGGTGACTGGGTGGTATGAAGCGATGATGGGTGACAGGGTGGGATAGTGATGATGGGTGATTGGGTGGGATGAAGTGATGATGGGCGACTGGTTGGGATGAAGGGATGACGGGTGACTGGGTGGGATGAAGCGATGATGGGTGACTGGGTTGGATGAAGCGATGGTGGTTGACTGGGTGGGATGAAGCGACGATCGGTGACTGGGTGGGATGAAGCGATGATGGGTGACTGGGTGGGATGAAGGGATGGTTATGAAAGAATGGTGGGTGACTGGGTGGGATGAAGTGATGATGGGTGACTGGGTTGGATGAAGCGATAGTGGTTGACTCGGTGGGATAAAGCGATGACGGGTGACTGAGTGGGATGAAGCGATGATGGGTGACTGGGTGAGATGAAGTGATGGTGGGTGACTGGGTGACATGAAGTGATGATGGGTGACTGGGTGGGATGAAGCGACGATCGGTGACTGGGTGGGATGAAGCGACGATCGGTGACTGGGTGGGATGAAGCGATGATGGGTGACTGGGTTGGATGAAGCGATGGTGGGTGACTGGGTGGGATGACAGGATGATGGGTGACTGGGTTGGATGAAGCGATAGTGGTTGACTCGGTGGGATGAAGCGATGATGGGTGACTGGGTGGGATGAAGCGATGATGGGTGACTGGGTGGGATGAACCGATGGTGGGTGACTGGATGGGATGAAGCAATGATGGGTGACTGGCTGGGATGAGGATGTGATGGGTGACTGGGTGGGATGAAGCGATGATGTGTGACTGGGTGGGATGAAGCGATGGTGTGTGAGTGGGTGTGATGAAGCGATGGTGGGTGAGTGGCTGGTATGAAGGTGTGATGGGTGACTGGGTGAGATGAAGCGATGATGGGTGACTGTGTGGGATGAGGCGATGATGGGTGACTGGGTGGGATGTTGCTGTTTATGATAGATAGATAGATAGATAGATAGATAGATAGATAGATAGATAGATAGATAGATTCTTTATTGTACGTGTTTATTTATTTATTTTTGCCTTTTAGGGTGGGTTCACGTGAATTCAAATCATACTTATTAAATAAAAACATATCTAAATTCTGATAAAATTAGCTTTACCAAAATTAAAAACTATGATATATTGATTATTTTATTTTCTGTTCTTGCCTTGTTGCTGTTGCTGTTGTTGTTTACGTTAAGAGAGATAAATACTTTGTTATTTTTCGTGCTTCTGTTTTTGATTTTTGGGGGTTGTTTTTCTTTTTGTTTCTTTTGTTTGTTTGTTTTTTCAGATGAGTGACATTCTCTATCTAGTCACCTTACTCCAATTTTATAATTACACTCATGAACAGAATTTTAAAAATAAAACGACACACATGAAGTCACAATGAAATAAGGAAATAAAGAAGAGAAAATTAAAAATACGAAGTTCATTTAGTGGACAGAGATGTTAGCATCATTGCAACAGAATTGTAGGACGAAATGATATGATAAAAATCATAAACGAATTATTGTCTGTAGAATTAATGTTAAAACGAGGCAATTCATCAGACACTTTCATCAATATTTGGAAGAGTTCACAGAACAAAATATTTTGATAATTTATCAAATACGATATTAGCACAAACTTATGTTAATTCTGTGGCAAATCGCATCTTTTTACAGGTTCTTGAAAATATCAACATTTAACTTTTATAAGAATTGTACACCCTAAAAATCTGTTTTCTATTAGGTTGAGTCATAAATGATTTCCGTTTTGGGAAACAAATTGTAATGACGAATGTATCATGTTAACAAACCGCCCCTTAAATATATTCTGACAGGTGAGGAAAAATGGATTACCTGCGACAATGTTAAACGCAAAAACTGACAAGGATAAATCTTTACAGCCGAACCCACAAGCTGAGCTCAATGGAGGAAATGTAATGATGTATATTTGATGGGATTATCGGGATATTAAAACACACTAGAAGACTAAATGCATATTTATAAGTCCAGGGAGAGTCGTGATCACTTACGTCCTGAAGGACCATGGGAAAAGAAGTTTCAGATAATAAAGAAATGTGTAGAGACTTCTGGTTGCCTACGTCCCGAAAGGACATGGCATAAAAAATCACATTTAATAAAGAAATCTACGGTGAGTCGGCAGCGTCCAGAAGGGATATGGCAGAAAAATAAAGATCACATATAATAAAGAAAAGAAATCTGTGGAAATCATGGCCGTCTACGTCTTGAATGAACACTGGAGTTTGTTTTGTTTTTTTTTTAATCACAGATAATAAAGAAAAAATATGTGGTGAATTATGGCCACCTACACCTTGAAGGGACATGACATTTAAAAAAATCACAGTTAATAAAGAAAAGAAATCCGTGGAGAATTATGATTGACTACGTCTTGAAGTTATATTGTACATCCTTCATTATTCCTATGCGCTTTCGGAGTACCATACTGTTGACCATGTTTGCCGTAGTCTCTGAATATGGAATCCAGTAAAGTCCGTAATCTGTTCAATATCAGAGGTCGGCAATGAAGATTCAGAGAAAGTAGCGGCTGTTAAGTAATTCTTTAAGTCTTCGATATCAGGTTGGCAGTGCAGACAATTTGGGAGGAAAAAAATGGCTGCCTTTATACACGTCGCATTGGATATTTTGAGCTTTCTGCTTGGTTAACCCTTCTATTCGTGGACTATAAAATGAGTCAGCTCATTTTGACTAGCTCACTAGTACATACATGTATCAAAAAAACTGTAACACATACCACACTTTCGGTCGTCTTTTATTATACTATGCAAATCTGACATACCCAACATGTAACTTACAATTTAAAGTGCCCCTTTTACTGACAACCAAGCATTCTGGTTTTATACAGTTAATAGTCCTTTCTGCTTGTTTTATCAATTACCTTTGTCTACCTTTTAATTTCCCGTATGAATCGGTTTTCCCTAGTGTAGTTTACATAGCGTGTGTTCTGCTGAAAATTAATCCCGGTAGATGTTTTAGCCTCTTAAAATCATTTCACCGTAGAAGTTAAATTAATTAGTTTTACACACACACACACACACACACAAGACAGAGCCTCTAATTATCTGAACGAACCTTGCTTTTTATGTTTGCAGAAGAAAATATGTATCATTGAACTTTTGAACAACACCCAATGATTAAACCAAAGATATGAAACCACCTTTTTTTGTAGATATATTAAGGATCTAACATTACAATCTTGCTAAATTCTTAATTCCATAGCTTTAAACGTTTAAAATTATAACTCACCTCCTTTGATATATTTCCTACCCTTTTATGTACCTCTCCACTAATTTATCTAAGATTATGATTCTTAAATTATTTTTGAAACCCGTATAACTTATAGATCCAACATACCAAGAAGAAATCACCACTTCTAAATTTATTAATTCACAAAAACATTTTCATTGATTACAGAATTAGTAGTGATAACTTCAACATAAATATATGCAATTCAGCTTTAGCTTGCTTTTTATAGTAAACCGAAAAAAGCATTCCCAATTACTGCTATAACTATCTCTAGAATTTATCCCTCTTACCTACTCTATCGTATTACTATCTTCTATTTCCTACCTTTCCTCCCTCACCGCTCACTCTTAGAACGTTTGTGAGATTTTGTGCCTAAACTTTTGACCGTGGCTATCGGCAAAGAATCTTCCCAGACTAGCCAGCATTCAACACCCCACCCATCTTTCACCAAACTGCTATCAACAAGCACGTTTTGTTTTATGTATATTTTTTCTCAAACAAGTTGAAAAAAAAGGAAGTGACATTTCACATACGGCTTGCTTACAAGCAGAAATGTTCATAACCATTTTTGGTTCTCACCAGTCGAGGTGCAATTGTAATGCACCGAAACGAAGTTGCATCTTTGTAATGAGTAAACTGTTTTTGTCTATATGATAAAATTATAATATATACATATATAAAAAAGCAAAAAAAAACATTTTATGATTGAATTTTGCTCTCGTCAAAATATGCTTCTTTAGCCTAGATTACTGCAGCACTAATTGTTGGCATTCATTGCAGAAGTTTCTCAGAGTATAAGTTTGGTAATTGATTCTATTCTTTTTATCAATGACTCTAAAAGCTCTTTTTCATTTGTTTTGTTTTGTTTTTTTTCTCTTCTGTCAAGTTCATTTCGTGTTAATTCTGAGAGCGGCTTCAAACTTTTGAACTGTAGTGTGTGTATATATATATATATATATATATATATATATATATATATATATATATATATATTCAATATAATGTAACTGAATTTAAATATAAATTGATTTGAGTGATTTTTATTATCAGTAAAAACGCTAAAATAATCCATATTCTTAAATCTGTCAACACAACGTAATTCGCTTTATTAAAAAAATCTTTAAAAATAAAATATATTTTTCTGAAACTTTATTACACATTTTTGTCCTTTCCCCAATCCTCCTGAATCATACATAAAATATGGAGTTACTTTTCAATCAACCTCTCTCTATCTATTTATCTATCTATTTATTTATATATATATATATATATATATATATATATATATATATATATATATATATATATATATGTGTGTGTGTGTGTGTGTGTGTGTGTGTGTGTGCGTGTGTGTGTGTGCCGGTTAACGGGGACACACACGTACACACAATACACAAAAGTGGAAATGGGTTTGACAGTCTCAAGTGTATTGTAGGGATAAGAAAACATCTCTCATCAATGCATCCATCATCACCACCTCCCAGAGCAAACCTAATGGTTTTATTACCACTTAGGCAGAAATTTACATTTCCCATTCAGTCCAAAAATGAGATCAAGGCTCACTATAAATACAGAAAAAGAACACTGAAATATTAAAAGAATATAAAGAAAATTTATTCCTTTAAAGTTTATTCCTTTTATTTGCCTGAAAAAGGTCAAGAGACCGGAAACCCGTGTAGCGTAAATATGAAGAATACAATATAACATATACACTAAAACAAATCCATGTTATAACCAAAAATGTTTGCGGTTTCTCTCTTTTACAAAATATACATTTTTCTCTCGCTGGAACAACTATAACCTTTTCATATATATATATATATATATATATATATATATATATATATATATATATAATACTCAAAAAATGTTTAATAAAAAAGAATAAAAGATATTGTTTTAAGCTACTAGCCTCCTCGCAGTGGCCAGATGTGAGACGAGGTTGTTTTTAATGTGGAGTGTTCATCCGATTACATATGGGTCAGGGATAAAAATTGATTGCCCAATCCCCGCGACCACTGTCATGCTGGCTTTGGTATCCACTAAATCCTACATATTTGGTGTCATGTGGGAAGTGTTGCCGCAGATTTGGAATCCCAGAGACTCGAGCCCTCTCATCATGTTAAAGGGAAGAAAGGATAGATACAATATTTTCATCCCAGTCTGTAGGCCAGTAAAAGGCTGTTTGATCCTTGACAGAATTGTCGTGAAGTGACACTTTGATCCTAGTTTGAATATACAGATACATATACTCCAAATATAGCCAGAAGTATTGATTCATCAGTAAACAATCTCCTCGCCTTATTTGTATAACTACTATTTTATTTCATTTAATAATGATAATGTTTCTTTTCATTATTTCAAACCTTAGAGGACCGAATAATTAGCTATAAGGATTTCTTAAAGTTCAAAATTCAACCGCCTCACTTTTCTAAAATCTATTTTTTTCCTTCATATTTACTTTCTAAGGATGTATTCTTAGTGACTTACCGTGTCGCCTTGACGGATTAAGAATAAAGTTGACAATACATCTTCGACAAGCGTTTAGCGGGTAAAGGCAGAGGAAGGGGTTTGCGGTTAAAATCCGTACTACACTGTTTAGACTTGATCCTCGAGGTTGTCTGTCTGACCCTCGCCGTTCCCGTTTACCGCCTCAGGTAACTCCATCTCGCAATTTAAGAATGGGAACAGCAAAAGAGGACAAAGAAATGCTGACCCACGCGCCAGGGTCAACGAGTTCGCGTGGCTTGCCCTCGGCAATTTCACCGACGGCTAACTGCCCACTGACCTGACGCCAAACTGTATTTTCTCTTCGTTACTGGCCAGCTTTATTGAACCAGGTCGATAGTGTCAGTTCGTATTTTAATTATAACAGTATGTCTTGTTTGCTATTGTCCGTGTGACGCTTTCTCAGTCGGATTTCCCAACATCACCACAACCAGAGCTACTCTTCATTCTCACCGCCATTTTGACTAAATACTTTTGTATTTTTGTATTGATTTATGAGTAAAAGTAACGTCGTATTAATTAATTTGTTAAAGTTAACTTTTTCTAGATATTTAAATGGGAATAGGGCTTTTTTCTGTTGTGCACAGGTTAAACAGTTCATAAATGTCATATCCTGTACAGCACTCTCGTTATTAACACAAAAATACAAATTTATATTCTATTATTTTATTTGAGAATCAAAGAAAAATTATATTTTGGCTCGATAAAATAATACCCAATGAGATCCCTAAAAACTCTCGGAAAAATCCTTAAAATATTTACGAACGTGATCCTTAAATATTCTCAAATGAAATCCTTAAAATGCTCTCGAATTAAATCCTTAACATATTCTCGTATTTGGTACTTAAAATATTCTCGTGTGAGATTCTAAAGTATTCTCGAATTAAACCCTTAAAATATTTTCGAATGTGATCATTAAAATACTCTTGAATGAAATACTTAAAATATTCACGAATATGATCCTTAAAACATTCTCGAATGAAATCTATTAAATATTCTCGAATAAAATCTGTTAAATATTCTTGAATGAAATCTGTTCTCGAATGAAATCTGTTAAATATTCTCGAATGTGACCCGGAAAATATTCCCGAATGAGATCCGTACAATTTTCTGGAATGTGATCCATATAATATCCTCATATGTAATCCTTAAAATTTTTTCCTATGAAATCAGTAAAATATTCTCGAATGAGATCCGTACACTATTGTTGAATGAAGTCGGTATAACGACTTAAATTTAACAAAAAATATAAAATCACCACATTTTTCTTTTTAATTACTTGTTTATGTCGGTGCAACATTGTCGTGTGAATTAGTAATGCATCCCGGCTGCATAAGTACAAGTTTAAGTACAAGTAAAAAAAAATTACGTCAAATGCTGATTTTCAAGATAGGCACACGCTCCTCAGTTCAAAAGATTTGTATAACATCATATTTAAACACTTATTTAACCATCGGTTCTTGTATGCCATACTGATCGGACTTGGTGGGTGAGACATTTGTGAATTTCCATGACACTGGTCATCTTAAATGCTGGTTGTTAAGATAGTTAGACTTTCTCTACTTATAAAATTGGTGCTGCATAATAATATTAGCTTAATGATTGAACATGTCATCGAATTTAATTCATTTAATCTAATTTATACAATTATGATTTTGCAAAATAAAAAATTGTTAAAGCTTTAAAAACGATTATTTTAAAAGTAGATACAAAGTACCGTCACAGAAAACGCGATACTTAAGGTTTAAAATGAGTCTTTAAAATAAAAAATCTTTCTTGAAGCTGTTATTTTAGTTTTAATTTCAAGCTAATAGATTACATTTTTTTTTGCTGAAATAGCTGATTAGCACCCTTTTTAGTTGTCTTTTATTACAATGTAATTCTCTTTATAAAAAATATTCCAAAAATAAAATATACTTTTCTGAACTTTTATTTGAGGAATATTAGCTGATTTAAAGTATAATTAATCTCATTCGAAACATATTTTTTACTTTAAGTTTAAAATATCACAGAAATGCATTTTTAACACAGCGGAAGCTGTTTATTTAAACTGTTTACATGTTTGACATCTTGATGACAGATCGATGTTTATCAGATGTCGTTCTGTAGAGGTTTTAGCCGTAAAATAATTGAATATAACGTGAGTGACTTTTATATATAATTTTTAAGTACTCAGTATTCTTAAAAAAATTAAGAAAATATTCTCCGTAATCTAATGTTTTATTGAATTTAAGATACTTTCTGGCTTTAAATTTACTATAGTTATTTTCTCATGTGTATGGGCATCCATATCTACAAAAATCGGCACGTTTATATACTTATAAAAAAATCTAAATTCTGTTAAAATATTAATGCTGATAAATTGTACTTTTCCATTTATGATTAGTAAATATAGTTTTTACTTAATAGTATAATCCAAAAGTGTGAAATTAATACAGAATTTTAAAAGATATAAAACATAAATTATCCTAATTAAATTTTGTTTTAACAAAAACAATTCTTATAAAAATACATTATTTACCGAAAAAGTTTTTTTAAGACAATATTGTCTTTAATATATCTTATTTATAAAAGCAATTAAAAGCTTATCTAATTAAATAATGTTGTAATGTTATTGCATTTTGTAATTTATGATTCAGAGCAGTTTTTCGGTAAATGCTGCTTCTCTCTGGCAAAAACAAATTGATGATTTAAATTCAACAAGGAGTCCTGAATTTACCTAATATAAACATGAAGGGGGTGGAATTTTAATTTCTAGAAATTTCACAAAATTATGTAATATTTTCTTTTACCTCTTTTAACAGAGTTAAAATACTTTTACCAACATTTTCTAAGAAGAAAGTCTCAAAAATAATTTAAATCATTTGTAAATAAGTCGTGAAAATTTCATTAGAATCTGACAATTATTCAATTTTTGCAAGAATTTCAAAAACAATGTATTTTTTACCGCAAAAATGACGCTAAATTTACCATATTACCCGTTGACGCAAGAAATACAAGATTTTTAACCAAAATTTCAAACGTACTAGGAAGGGTTAAAAAAAATTAATAAAATAATCAAAAATACTTTGATATTTCTTTTTAATAATAACGTAAACATTTTGACAGTAAACCTTTGTTTTTATCAGTTTGGGGGACTTTTTCATCATGGTATGCTCTTTTTTAGCGAAGTTTTGGAGGTACCTTTAAAAATATATACAAAAATATTAAAAGAAGCAGGGGAAGAAAAAAGATATGAGGAAGAAAACAAGCAATCGTCGTAAAGGGGTGACTCGAAAAAATATAACAGCAAAAAAATGAAATAAAAAAGGGCCAAAAATTGACTTACCATACGTCTCGAAATATTCACCATTAAGCCTTAATTAAATTTTTGTCTACAGCTCAAAATCTTAAATGTGGTCATTAGAAGTTTACAATAATCTTAATAATGGCCATTACTCTTAGAAGACTTCTATAATATTGACAATGGTCTGTATTTATTCTTATAAGCTTCCTTAAATTTTAATTAGAATACCTGTCTATATTTCTGAGATGAGGTATTATAACTATTTACATTATTGAACTATTGTCCTCGTCTTTATTGTCATATTCATGACCTTTCTGCCGTTGTACACTCTGGCCTTCTTCAGGTAATATACGTTGGAATTTTGACACATGGCCCAGTGGGTAAAAGCGTTGCTTGAAGTAATCAAGTGACTTGACCCAATGAGTTGTGAGTTCAATACCTGGCCACAGCAAAGGTGAACAAAAACTTGGAGAGGTGAGTTACTAAAAGGGAGATAACTGAAACTGGGATATCCAGAAAAGGCATGGCACGTGGAACTAGAACAATCTGCCCCTTGAATGAAATAAAGGGTTCGGTTCAAAATTCCAACGTATATCATCGGAAAAAGGCAGAAGCTTACAACGGCCGAAACGTCGTAGATATGACAATAAAGATGAGGACAATAGTCCGAACAACGTAAATAGTTACTTAGAACAAATCTATACTCTAAATGGTGGTCAATATCTAATTTTATATTTCCTCTATTTCCTCTTAATAATGGTCAGTATTTAGAAATCCAAAGGTCGTTATTTAATCTTAGCCGTTTAATAATTGTTAAAATTTACACATATAATATCTTGCAAATCTTATTAGTAGTAATACTTCTGAAATGTCATATCCTTTTCTTGACTCCCCCACCCATATTATAGAGTCTTAATTCTGAAAAAAATCAAAAAGTAAGAAATGAAATAGTGAACAGAACAGAAAAAGGTATAATTAAATACTACATTTATTCATTTAGTTTCGTTTGGTTTATTTTGTTTTACGGCATATCAACCTCAATAGGTTATTTAATGCCGACAAGATTTTTATTGCTGCTAATATTTCTTTCTTCAAAAATGTATTGCTGGTAATAATTTTTTCTTCGAAAATTTATTCCTGGTTATTTTTTTAATTCTTTACAAAAACCTATTGATGGTATTGAAACCTATTTTTCCACTTTCATATTTTTTTTATTCCAGTTTGGGAATTAACTATTTGCCCATAGCTGGGGCCCTAACAGGTGCGACTACTCCGGGTTAGAGTGGACCTGGGGACACCAGCATTTAAGAGGTGGTTCCACGCTCCTCAAAGCCCCTGATCAGAGGCCTTGCTGTTGGATGTAGTTTATCGTCTTACCCAGGACGATATTCATTTAGGATTACAAACGTCGTCGGTAAAGTTGCTATGTTTTAAGATACAGTCAGTCGTTTAAACTTTTAAGGGGATTTTCTTCACACAAAGTTGTAACTGCAAAAGAAAAGTGAGATGAGTGTATACAAAGAAGAGTAGTGTCGAGTCTTCATTTAAAAGTAGTTGGCAACTTCTTAAATTCAATCTCGATTGGAAATAACTTTAGCTAAATTTTACTGATTGTCCGCTATAACCTATTGCTTTTTAGTCTTTTTGTTGGGATAGGTCAAGACAGCGCGTCGATCAGCTTCTGATATTCACCGTTCTAAACCTAAGGTATTTCCATTGAAAATCCTTAAGAGAATGGCTACATTCTAAGGTCCTCGATGTTTCTGATTATTTTTTTTACGTCACATTTTATCTCAAATTTGGGTGGTCATGTGTCCAGTGAATTTAAACATTTATCGTCAGTCTTTTCGAACAAAGAGATCTCCAAAACGAA